GCCATTTGCTCTGGATAAAATCACATGGATGTAGACTTCCATACAACAGAAATGGAATGCAGAGACATAATTTTACGTAAGGAATTCTGATTATTCTTCTATATTTAAGTACTCAACCTAACAATTTGTGAGACATTCTCGCTGGTAAGGTACGAAACGTTTTCTATGTTTGGGCAAGCTGTGCGTGGGTCTCTTTCTGTCGCAGTTAAATGTGTGAAGTTTTCGTCTTTTTAAAGATACGTGACCTTGAAAAAAGATTCCAGCAAAAATGGCGACGTAAAGCAGGTGCATCTGCATATCACAGATTCAGAAAATAATTTGCTGAACAATAAGATATACTGTACTTATTGTCCCCAAATGCCATTGACACATCCTGAATGCATAAATTGTTCTGTGAAACAGTCAAGAGAAACCGACAGAAAAATGCTGTGAAAAGTTAGTTTTTCATGTTATGTCCCCTTTAAGTCATTAGCCACATAATAATTAGCATAACTTGTCTTTTTGTTTGTTGTAAAATGTGGTCTCATGTTACAGTGATCCAACAACCATTATCAGAATAAACAAATGTGTCATGCATCACCAACAAATAACAGTGGCAAAAAATACACATAATTACAGCCTCCGTCTCAACTCCACCACAGAGCAGCAGTAGCATAAACACAATCATAGCAGAATATGAAGAGAAAACTTGACAGCTCCTGGTAGCAATTACAATACAGTTTTTGCACATCTGGAGACAGCAATTGCTGTGCTATTGTACTTGCAAAATTGGTCTGGCTCCATCTAACTCAGAGGGAAAAGGAGCACAGAAAATGCTCAAGGTCTTGTGAACATTATCAGTTGGCTTGAGGTTTGGACCAGGTCTAGATTTGCACAGTGGGGTCTGAAGTGTGGGTCTTCCTTCTCACTTTTTGAATCAGCAGATGTTTGCAGATGTGAACACAGGTTTATGTTGGAGGCTGTTTCTCTGTAAGAATGGTCTGAAAATATAGATTACCAGACCTGTACTATGAGTCCGCAGGGAGAGGAGGAGAAATGTTGGTGGAGCTGTGCTTTGGGAATCTCTATACATTTTACAATATGAAATCAAATTCATGCTGCTCTTTTCTTTTTACATGTTTTTAGTTAAGACATGATGTTGAATAGTTAAATGCGTGGCGTTACAGTAACTAGAAAAGCACTCGTAGAAGAAGAGTTGCATTCCATAACTTTTTGAGACAAACAGAAAAAACGCCAGGTTATGATGAACTGACAACGATACAGAATATTGGTGCCTGATATTAGCCCAGAATGTCAATAGGTTTCAGCTTTCCATAGTATAACTGCTAAATAACACAATTGGTCCCATTTTGTTACAATTGAGCTGTGATTTGAGGACAGTAAAATTGCGATGTACAGTTCTTTACTTGTATGCCTATAGGTTCTTACTGTATCTGCAGATACTAAAAGCCAATTAACATCAGTTTGACACAGTGGCATGTGTGTGGAGAGATGAAAAAGGCCTCTGATAATTGTAAAGCGCTTTATGACTCTTTTTATACTTTTTCACACTTATCCGAGGGACAAGGCCGAAACCATCTCTCCCTCTGGAACATAGTTGAATAGCCCTATCTTTGCTTTGTCAGCAAAGCGTGTGTCTGGGATTGAAGTGGTTAACCTTCATATCAAAAACAACTTTTTAGAACTCCACTACATTGTGACATCTGTTAGAATAGTGTTTTTCACGTACGTGGGTCTTGAAATATTCTTGTATTACATGTAACTTCATATAGTCAGCGTTCTTCTGGGTCAAAGTTTTTGTGCAAATTCTTGTGGTGCGCTGTGAGAACAACAATCTCACTTTGAGGGTCAGAGGTTTGGACGTTGCATTTTCTTTCTTTTGTGCAGAATCCTAAATGAAAAGGTGTTACAATTTTGGCCACATGACCACAGAGATTTAATGTTCTGCTTGTGGTTGAGGGCACAGATGGAGTCATCCAAAGACACAATCCAGAGATGAATCACAGAATAACGTATTGAAGTCATTATCCTCTGCTTGTGTACGGATATAATAATATTAGGCTTTACATTCATTTAGATCGACCCAATGGCTGCAGTCAGGGAGAGAGATTGAAAGGCTGGTCCGAAGAAGATTCACAGAGACACAGAAATGTAAACCAGGAGTGGGTCCAGAACATCATCTCCAAACCAGATGTCCCATTCATGTCGGACAGCCCACCAAAGTGGAAACTACAGAATCAAGATGCTTCGGAAATGGTAAAACTCCAACACAATCAGTTTCAGATCCTCTCAATGCTGCTACTACTTTGTATGTGACCCGGCTGCGTGTCCATGACTCAATGTGGACCTCTGCTCACTTTGCAGAGTGCAGTTGTGGGGAGTGCGGTGGGTGACGTATACTGCAGTAAAAGCTGTACTCTGGCTGGGCAGTTGTTGTAGTGAGGTGGAAGTACTGGAGACGCCCTGTGCACTGTGCTGTGACCCGCCTCAGTTTTAAAGGTGGTTAGAGCAGAGTTTGTGGCCAGAGGAACACTGCACTTGCTTAAGGCCACTGGGGTCAAAGAAGTGACATTACCAGTGGTGGCAAAAGTACTAGTCTTAGGGAAGTAAAAGTATAGATACTACAACTCTGGAAAAGTATTTAAATAATTAAAGATGACTTCTCATACATTGTTTTTTGACCCTTACAAATGACATTTTACTTTTTCAATTAATGTTTTTGAATGCGAAATATTATCTGAAGTAGAAAATATCCGGCAACAGATAAATGCATTACGCCTGCAACTCCCTATGCTACCACCAGAGGGTATCCACTATCCATACATCCATTTTCTTCCGCTTCATCCGTTGGCAGGTTGTGGGGTAAACAGTCTAAGCAGAGATGCCCAGACTTCCTCCAGCTCATGCGGAGGAACCCCAACATATCCTGGGTCTTCCCTAGGGTCACATGAAAAATTGCCAAAACTACTTTATGTGCACTACTTTTGTTTTAAAAGAGAGAAAAGTACTCTTACATTACAAAAAAAAAACGATTTAACACAGTGTTCAGAGGTTTCTTCCAACAGTAGTTTTGGTTTTCCTCTTTGCTCCCGTTTGGCCCGCTGCCATTTTATTATTGCCTTCATGTCATTTGTTTGGAAAGATGATAGACCAGACTAAAGCATTCATGTCACTTGGTTTTATTGTGGACTGACCCCAGCAGTCAAAACATACAAGTGCAGATGTGGAGTGAAGGGATTACAGCCCCAATAAGAGCAGGAATGTGCTGCTGCCACTTGTCGAGGTCCGCTCCATAAAGCACCACAGCTTCACACACACAAACCTCCCTTTGAGACAGAGATACACCGGAGCATGGGACAGGGCACCGAGAAAAACTGTTAGGATTTTTATTCTTCTTCCACTCGGAGTCATAAGAAAGTTCAGAAGGCCTCTATTTGAGTCCATTTTGGAAGGCCATAAATTAACATAACAAGGGCATAATTCATTTGAGCTTAATTTCAGAACCTTATTTGTTTGTACAGTATTAAATTCTGCTCAAAACGAGTGGGCTGAAGCATTGAGCTCCCCCTACCCCCAAATCAACACATTCAAACTTTTCATTCCCAATAAAAAATAATACAGAACACAAGGACACAAAAGCACACAAAAGCACAACTACAACAACTGTTATGTTTAAGTCAGATCTCCTTAAAGAAAGTAACAAAAGGGACCATATAATTGTTTCAGATACATGACGATACATACATAACCTAACCCTACTACAATAATAATATACCTATTACGCTCAGAGAAGAGATCTTCCTATGTGAAAATTGTAAGTGAAATACTGCGTCTCGATTTCTGTAAAAATACCGTTTATAAATGGTTTAAAGAGGAGAATGATATAACAGGGATATAAATATTTCCATTTCAGTTTGGGTATTTTTAAATGTCGAGTAAAGTATTTGAGGCATTTATTTTCATCATGATGCAATATTTGTCTTTCCTTTTTGGCTTTCCAATCTGAGTTTCCATAGAAAATTCTTTATTTATTGTCTCGACAAACCAAGTATAAAACTAAATATTCTCTTAACAGTGGGAACAGTCTTTCCCACAGTCTTATTCCACAAACTACTGAAATATTCATAATTGGATTACATTAAAACACACGAAGCTGTCGCAGATGTTCAGCAGCAGCAACTATTTTTCCACAATTTAGTGTGACACAAATTAAAGAGTGATATATGCAGGTGACACTTTACCAAATACACATAATAATACTCTAACTTTACAGTCATCTTCTCTGAGAATATGATTAATAGGTCCGACATTAAGAGTGATAAGTACTGTATCTTTAGCACTTTAGCACACATGGTGGTGTTTGGATGATAATGTATATTTCCAATCAAAGCTATTCTAATGATCAAAAGTTTTTTTAATCAAAACACAAGTATGTGTGTGTATTTCATGTTGTTTTATTATTTTTATCTTTCGTGCCCTGTGAAGCACTTTGAGCAGCTGGTGTTGTTGTATGTGTGCTATTGTTATTGGAATGTAACTTAAGTTATCATTTTGGTAAATCATATGTGGCTATGTGCTGAATGCTCTGTATTGTAATTCACTTTAGCTTCAGGAAGACTCCGGGAGGTCTGGGAAGCTCATATGCCAAGTGCCTTTTGTTGTGTTGGTTTCTTCCTTTATCTTATCTTATTTAATTCTGGTTGTTTCTAAACTGAACTGGTGTGTTTTTTGATCGTTTTCCTTACAAAAAAACATGAAAAAGGAAAGAAGCTGTGAGACAAATGGGCATGGAGGGCATCATATACTTAGGAAACGTGCTTTACTTTCTCCTGCTCAAAGATTCAGCTGGGAAACAGTGGAAATGAGACGTCTCCAGGAGGAAGTGCTGGTTTGTTTTGTTTCTATGTGATCAATGAGGCCAAATCTGAACCCAAACATTCGTCTTTCTGCTCCTGAAATAACTCCAGCCGCCACCTCCAATCGATCCTCGCTTCCACTGATTATACCCAACACAAGGTCACGGTTGCCACCTTTCTCTGTGAACACATAAAGCATATAGTGTCAAATTAGACAGGTAAAATGCCGGTCCCAGACACAGCCACGAGCCAACCCCAATGCCACAACTGCTGCAATGTTTCGCATCTGTTTGAAATAAAAACAGTTGCCATGTTGGGGAAAATTCTTCACTTTGACGGATTAAACGTGACAATTGTTTCCACTCGTTATTCTCCCTTTAGGCAAATAATCCCAACCCTAAAGTAACTCAAAGCAACTTTCTTCTTTTGTCTAATAGAGAGCTCCACGCTACATTAACACGCATAAATGTCTAATAATAACTGTGACCAACTGTAACAAACTCTCTGATTTTCTGATGCCTTTGAGGTTCCCCTTTCAATCTCAAAATATGGATGGCATATTTAGTGACCGCCAGAAGTGCTAAAAATACCTCTGCCAGTCTAGTAGCCACGAGTCTCCATCTAGCGCTTATTACCACACGACCTGAGGTTTGGGGAGCAGGGGATGTGGTCAGCATCTGTGCGTTTAAAAAGAAGCAAAAAGAAAAAATAAGAAGAGGACAGAGCGAGCGAGAAAAAGAGAGAGAGAGAGAGAGAGTCAGGGATGTGGTGAAGTGCACAGAAAAGAGTCTGCACAAAGTCAAGACTGGCTGTGGTCAGATGCATTAGTATTATGTGATATTTCCGATGGTCTCTTGGTATTTTTGAATGACGGCACATTTTGCAACCAACTAGATATTATTGAAGTCATGCATCACATCATAACAGAGGCATTTGCAGTTTGTTGGACTGTTTTATGACCACCCTATCTTAATAATTTCCACCAAATCAATATGTTTCTTTATAGAATAGTCATAATCACTACATAGACAGAAAATGCTATCAAATGGTTACGCAGCTATTGGCATGAGTGGGACACCCAAATAATAATAATAATAATGAATCCGTTTTATACAGTGCTTTTTCTGGACACTCAAAGACGCTTCACATTATTTTCATTATTCTTTCATGGTATATATGTTGGTGATAAACTACTAATGTAGCCACAACTGCCATAGGGGCAAACTGAAAGGAGCGAAGGCAAACAGTAGGTGGCATCAGCCCCTTCCGACTACCACCAATCATTCGCTGACACATCAAACCTATTATAGGCAATGTCTTGCCCGAGGACACAGTGACAGTTTGGTGCTACAGCTGCAGCTGCCCCACTGTGGCACCTGGTGTTGCAGAGGTCCCCCGTCACAGCACTACCCAGGCCCTGCACTGCTTAGCTTCAGAGGTCTATCAGAATCTGGCTTTCATATGCAGGTGGCGTCACAATATATTAATCCTTTAAAATTCATAAAGCTTGGTTAATTTGGATTTATTGTTTTCATTTCTCTAAGTGAATTACATGTATGAAACATGCTGAATTATTGCCAAATTTCCTTTTCTTTGCCCCATGGGTCTTTAAGGACATCTGGAAGAAACCTTTGCAAAATAAATTACAGCACACTAGAAAGCAGATGGGCTGTCATGGTAATTTTGAAAAGACGGGATTATTATATTGATCCTATATGAGATGGATTGTATGTAATTTATAGCTAATTAGTGAGCAGGATATTTCATTTTAAATACGCAAACCATTATCGTTCAGTTTCAGGTTTTGTTTGTTTTATTTTTAAGGTAAGATTATGGTACATTCAAACATAAGTAAAATCAAATTAAATCACCTTAATTTTCTGCTCTCAGCTTACATACGATTATCTTAAACAAAGCTTTAAATCACTCATATAATTATACTATCAATCAATCAATCAACTTTATTTGTATGGCGCCTTTCCAACACAAGGCCACTCAAAGCGCCTCACAACCCACATAATATCACACAAATCAGAGACATCAATAAATACATTAAAAACAGAATAAAATCACAAATAATGAAAAAAAAAAAAAAAAAAAAAAAAAAAAAAAAACTTAAAATATTAAAAGCACACACGGGATTAAAATAATAAATAACCACAATGCATTAAAAAAAAAAGAGTATGTATCAATAAAATCCTTCAGCCGTATGCACAGCTAAAAAGAACAGTTTTTAGCCCTGATTTAAAAATTGCCAGAGTAGATGCTAGCCTCACATCTTCAGGAAGATTGTTCCAGATTTTAGCTGCATAAATCTCAAACGCTGCCTCCCCATGTTTAGTTCTGACTCTTGGAACCAGTAAGAGGCTACCTCCTATGCTCCTCAGAGTCCGGGTCGGTTCATATGGGACTAACAAGTCGCTTAAGTACCCTGGTGCGAGGCCATGGAGAGACTTGTACACAAGCAGTGCTGCTTTGAAGTCTATTCTCTGAGCCACAGGAAGCCAGTGCAGAGACCTGAGAACTGGACTAATGTGGTCATATTTCCTGGTCCTGGTCAGGACTCGAGCTGCAGCATTTTGGACATACTGCAGTTGTTTTACAGCCTGTTTGGAGAGACCTGTGAGCAGGCCATTGCAGTAGTCTAACCTACTGGAGACAAATGCATGGATGAGAATCTCCAGATCTGATTTAGACACTATGTTTCTAATTTTGGCAATGTTTTTCAGATGGTAAAATGCTGCTGATGTTACTGATTTGATATGACTGTTAAAATTTAAGTCTGAGTCCATTATAACTCCTAGGTTTCTGACCTTGCCTACAGGTTCCAGGGAGAGAGACTGGAGGTGACGAATAACGCTCTCTCTTTGTTTCTGAGGACCAAAGACAATCAATTCTGTTTTGTCTGCGTTTAGCTGAAGGAAGTTATTTTGCATCCAATCACTAATCTGTTGAGTACAGTGAAGGAGTGATTCCACTGGTCCATGTTCTCCTGCAGTAAGTGAGACATAAATTTGAGTGTCATCAGCGTAATTGTGGTAGGATACATTGTTGGAGCGTATTAACTGACCTAACGGCAGCATGTAAATATTGAACAGAAGAGGCCCCAGAATTGATCCCTGTGGCACTCCGCAGGTCAGAGCCATATGATCTGAGACACAGTTTCCTATCTGAACCAAGTATTTCCTGTCTTCTAGGTAAGACCTAAACCAACTTAGGGCAGTCCCAGTGACACCCACCCAGTGCTCTAGTCTCTGCATGAGGATCTCGTGGTCGACTGTGTCGAACGCAGCACTCAGATCCAACATTACTAAAACTGTGACTTTTCCTGTGTCGGTGTTAAGTCGGATGTCATTTGTAACCTTCACTAGTGCAGTCTCAGTGCTGTGATTGGCTCTAAAGCCGGACTGGAGCGCATCAAACGAACTATTAGTTACTAAGAATTCTGTAAGTTGTTGGTAAGCAACTTTTTCCAGAATTTTTCCCATAAACGGCAGATTTGAAATGGGGCGATAATTCTTAAGAACTGTGGCATCTAGACTCCTCTTTTTTAGGAGGGGTCTGATGACTGCCGTTTTCAGGGCCATTGGAAATGTTCCAGATGAGAAAGACATGTTCACTATTTGTGTGAGCAAAGGTAAAAAGACTGCTCAAAACAGACTTAAAAAATTTAGTGGGTAGTACATCCAGGCTACATGTGGAGGAACTAAGGCTAGAGACAACATCTTGGACAGTTTCATTATCTGTTGGTGCAAAGTGCGATAGCTCAAACAGCCTCACCGGCTGTTGTAATGTTATTTCTGCCTTGGAGGTGATGGCGTTTTTGATGCTCTGAACCTTGTCATTGAAAAATTGTGCAAACTCATTACATTTAGATTCTGAAGCAAATTCGAATGGCAGCTGAACAGGGGGGTTTGTTAATCCGTTAACTGTTGAAAACATAAGTCGTAGATTATTATTGCAGCCATCAATGGTTTTAGAAAAATACATTTCTCTTGTTCTACGTAGCACCCTGTTAAACTTGCACAACTCATTTTTGAAGATATCATGATCAACCTGGAGATTGGATTTTCGCCACTTCCGCTCGGCCCTACGGCACTCTCTCTTCTGTACCATGACTGAGTCCATTTTAGTCCAGGGGGCCTTTGGCTTATTTGTAATCATTTTAACCTTCACAGGAGCGATGATGTCCAGAACATTTATAACATTGGCGGTGACAGAGTTAAACAATTCGTCAACAGTAGAACACAATGTGTTCTCAAAGTTTATCATTCCCATGAATAGTTCGGTTGTGTTTTCATTTATGTGTCTGTGTCTGACAATTGCAGATTCAGATATATATGGTTGTTTACTATCAAAACACATGTCAAAAAATACACAGAAGTGATCTGACAGAGCCACGTCAACCACATTTACATTTAAAATATTAACCCCCTTTGTAACCAGCAGGTCTAGAGTGTGCCCTTTGCTGTGGGTGGGGCCACTCACGTGCTGAGTGAGACCAAATGTTTCAAGTACAGAACTCAGCTCTTTTGCATTTTTGTCATTGCCATTATCCACATGAATATTAAAATCACCTGTAATCACTAAACTATCAAAATCGGTGCAAACAACTGAAAGCAACTCAGTGAAATTATCAAAGAAATTGTGACAAGACTGCGGTGGCTTGTACAGGACAATGATAAGAATAGAAGGAGATTGTTTTTGTTCTATTTTAAAAGAAATATACTCAAATGATAGAAAATTTCCAAGGAGAATTCTATGAGAGATAATACGATCTCTAAATAATGCAGCAATGCCTCCCCCCCTTTTATTTTCTCGTATTTCAGATTCAAATTTGAAGTTTGGTGGCGTTGCTTCTATTAAAACCGCATCACCTGTACTCTGGTCAAGCCAAGTTTCAGTCAGAAACATAAAATCAAGATCATAAGAACGGATAAAATGATTAATTAAAAATGATTTGTTGCACAGTGATCTGACATTAAGCATAGCAATTTTAAAATTAATATCAGTAACAGTGGGTTTAGTTAATTGATTTTTACAAGGAGCAGGAATTAGATTTGAATGTCTAACTGCTGTCCTTCTGTTATGATTTTGTTTTCCATTCAAATAAAAACATTTTTTGAAACTGATGCGAGGAACACAGTTTCTATTTGTCTAACATGTGAACTCTTTTGCTGTGTAAGTCCCGGATTCAGGACGGCATTGCTTCGTTGTTTAGAGCAGGAGGCAGCACGGTTCAGAGGCGAGACTGTTATTTCACTGCCAGACGGAAAGGGGTCAGTGTTTGCACCACAGTACTCACCCGGTGCTGGTGAGCAGGAGAAGAAGGAGGAGGGTGGTGGTGGTGGGGGCTCCGATGTAAACAGTCACGCCCCCCTCGGGGAACACTGAATAACGTGGCGTAGGTAATCCGTCAACAAGCTGGTGCCATATCTATTTGGGTGCAGACCGTCTGGACGATAAGCCACGTGACGCTTCCAGAAAAGGCCAAAGTTATTCACAAAAATAAAGTTAAACGAGCTACATGCAGACTGGAGCCACATGTTCAACGCCACTACGCGACTGTACAAGCAGTCTCCCCGGTTTACAGTCGGGACTGGACCAGAAATAAAAACACACAACCCGGAGGACTGGAGGAGGCGGAATAGATCCATAAAATGCTTCTTTGTGACCTCGGACTGCTGCAGCTTCATGTCGTTGATCCCCACATGCACGATTACCTTTGAAATGGTATCAGGCAGGGACTGAAGCAGAGGAGGGAGACGGATGAGCAGGTCTGGCACAGTAGCTCCGGGAAAACACTGAGTGACCGCGTTAAAAAAGCGGACGTGTCTCACGATGGAATCTCCAACAATCAAAGTAGTCGGGGCGAAGAGTGGACGTAGCCGCGGAGAGGGCGCTCTGTGTCCATGGCCAGAACCAGCGGGCTCATCCAGGGATGAGTCCGAACCAGGGCGCTGCTGAACACATGGAGGGGAGCGGGGGTGTTGATTCTCAGCTCCGGGCGACCCACGCTGTGTGCTCGGGGACGCTGGAGCGGCGTGAGGAGCAGGCTCGGGTCGCTGCTGTTGACCCGGTGAAGGTAAGCGGTGGTGATGCACTGGGGTCAGAGAAGGGGAATGACCACTCTTTCGTCTGAGGACGGCTTCCTTTAGGAGCGTTTTTCTCGCAGTGGACTTAGATCCACGAACGGCAGAGTACGCTGCAGAGTCCAGAGGTTCTGCTGAGGGGGCTGGGATGTCAGTGGAGAGGGCTGCATAGCGGTTTGACAGGCTTAGGACATGGGCCACGGCGCTGGATGGCTCCTCGCAGTTCGCGGGTTCCTCATTCGGAACCGGGCGCTTAGGTGTAGAACAGGAGGGTCCAGAGCTGACAGATCTCTCCCACACGACAGTGTCACAGTATGCAGCGCTCTGTGACATAAGTCGTGAGTGCTGCCCGCCAGCGACATCAAAGAGTTTGGACACGAGTGACTGTTTATCCTGCAGCTCTGCAGTGAGGCGAAGGACTTCTTTACGGAGGTCTGCAATAGTGGCACGGTCCCTCTCACGAAACTCCAATGTGAGGCGACTAATGTCGTTTATAGGGTTTGTGGTTATTGCAGTGTCGCGTTCCATGTCTGTGTAGGTTTAATAAAAGCTCATGACGTGGTGCCCTCGTGGTAGCCTCCGAGCTAGCACGTTTTCAGCAACACATCTTCATTGTCTCAGTTTGCTCTGGGCTCCAATTCACAATTCTCAAGAGCTTGTGAAGAAGTTTCAATAAAAAATACATTAAACTGTAACTTTAAAAAGAATTAAAAGCAGTAAAAAATCCATTAAAACGAGTTAGTCCAGAGAGAGACACTGAGCAGACAGTGGACATGCTGCCATCAACCATGGAACCATTTTCGAAGCAGGCCTACTAACGCACAGTAACACTCAGTGTTGCCAACTCCTCAGTAAGGAAAGTAGCTATTGGCTGTCCCAAAAGTCGCTAGAAGTCGCTAAATGACGTCATCGCCTAATTTGCATAATTTGCCATTTGCAAATAACTGTAACGGACGAAGGATGATTTAATGTGACCCACTACTGAGAGAAAACAGAGTCACGGACAGAGCTGCCGCGGATGGAGTGGGGGGTAGTGGGGGGTGGCGGTGGTAGGAGTGGCCGGGGAGCTTTGGATGTGTGGTGGTGGTGGAGCTGAAGTTCAGTCTGCAGCAGCCTGAAAACTTCCTGTGCTTTTGAGTCTCCTCTCTCTCTCTCTGCTCCGCCCATAGACTGTAGCTGGGACTGCTGCGCAAGGCTACTGTGAGACTGGCCGCCTGTAAGTGATTTGGGACGGGGGAGGGGCTCACGTTGAGGACAGTAACTGCAGAACAATACGTGCTTCACGAGTCTCCAAAACACCAGATAAGTCGCCAAAACACCAGATAAGTCGCCAATAACACCAGAAAAAGTCGCTAGATTTGTCGCTAGTCGCTTTTTTGAAAAAAAGTCGCTATAGGGGTCTGAAAAGTCGCTAAATCTAGCGACAAAGTCGCTAAGTTGGCAACACTGGTAACACTGATTACGAACTGGCCTATACTATACTATATTACAAACACGTCCCTCCATTCTTTTTGTTTAAATGCTATCTGAAACTTGCTACGATATAAGAAAGTCATTGACAGAGCTGCTAAAGTATTGGCTCCACATGAGTATTTCGTCATTTCTCCAAATTATGTTCTTCGCTTTACGTCCAATTAGACTGTGCCATGTTCAATACTGCCACTAGACGGCAGTGTTGGCGAATTCTAGCAATCTCAACCACCTGCCCCTTTCCCCTTTGATTGTGAAGTTTCCTAAAATTCTCTTGACAGTTCATACATTTAATACATGATTTCTTTATTAGTTGAGTATTTTTACTATAATCATTTAACATAGTAAAGGGCATTTTATGAATGAATTGAATTTGTGGCTATACAGTATTTACTTCTTAAGAATTAATTTCACATTTTAACATTGTGAAATGCCATCATAAATGAGCATCAAGATCAAGGTTTTCGCTACAAAATGAACATAAATAATGCATGATATGTTCCTTACTGATCTAAATATTAGCTCCAACTCATTCCAAACCTTTACACACACAGAAATACATTGCTTTTTAACATTTTGGCTTATTGTTGGCTTTTTACACATATACAATCTTACAATACAAACAAACCAACTTGATCTGCCTCAGTCCTAGACACTTTTATATTTATTGCCTCTATCCTCTCCATTCCACCGTCCGTCTGTCTGTCTGTCTGTCTGTCCACTCTCGGCTGCAGCTGCTGTCCCACCTGGACCATCAATCCTTCTGCTTTAGACCCCTACCTGGCTCTCGTTCAGCAAACACAAACACAGCCAAGCGTAAGCCACCACCACGACTCGCACACCAGGAAGCAGCGGGGGCAACACGATCCGTCTGTCAACCTTGGACCGAAGCACTCAGATGGAAGTTCCAGCTTTGGGTCAAAACCTGAAATCAAGACTAACAAGATGATGTGTAGCCCTGGGGTGAGCAGCGGATTTGAGGTGCTCTCTACACAGACAAACTGGCAAATCAGAGACTGAAACGGAGCACACAAAGCAATTGTACCTCATAAAACATGTTGAAACCATGAAAGAACAAGTGAGAATTGCCAGACTTCTTTCTGGTGCTATGTTGCTGCCATAATGCCTTTAATGCTGACTTATGTAGCAACACATTGAAGCCTGGTGCCCTTCCTAACACTGCTCTCTTATTTATGCTTATTGAAGGTTTGCAGGGGGGCGTCTGAGTGCGTGGGTTTAGTCGGTCTCAGGTCCAGGGGCCTGATCAGCAGCTTCTCATGTATGTTATATACATACCGTTACATTAAAGTAAAGGTGCACTTTATTGATCCCCGTAGGGCAATTCATCCTCTGCATTTGACCCATCCTGATGCCACTAAGGCAGGTGCAGTAGTCGCCGTAGGGAAACCTATGGGAAGAACTTCACTCAGAAAGATCCCATTCCGATCAGGATTCGAACGCAGGACCTTCTTGCTGAGAGGCGAGAGTGCCATCCACTCTTCACTGTGACGCCCCTCACACTTTCCACCTCTTATCATTACTAGTCCTGTAATATTTGACGATACACTCCTCAGGTTATGTGAAGTTTATGTCACTTTAAATGTTTCTTTTTATTATTATTCAACCAGACTGCAGCAACAAAATTATTATGGGTTTTTTTCCATAAAGGTGTTGAGATCTGAAGAATGATTACGATAAAGTGAATTAAAGGAACAATATGTAAAAATCTGGCCAAAAGTGGTACTGCAGTCACAGTCAATATTTTGTAGTCCTCTCCCACTCTCCCTGAGTCAGGTTGCCAGATTCACACCAAATCCAGCAGCAAACACAGGGAATTATTTTATCAGTTGTTTGTCCGTCTCCATTCACATTGCCATGACAGCCGTGCTAATGCTGAATGAATGTTTTGATTCATGTTTTTTTATTATTATTATTTGGACATTTGAGATAAAAAACAAAAACAAAATAAAAGCAATGTAATTATACATAGTTTATGCAAAATACATAAGCAATTGATGTCCAAAATAGGAGTGGGAAGAATGGATGTTGGAACGTATTTCTTCAGCGTATCAACATCAGGGTTTGCTCAAGAGGATATCACCTTTCAATTTTATTTATTCCCTATTTTTTAGACAAACATGTAAAAGTCCCACATCAAAAAGAGACTAACATTATTTTAATTGGGGTACATGTGGTCTTAAATGATTATTTTTACAATTAAGCTATAATCTGCAAAAAAACGTCTTGACCTTCGTCTTTTACCGTTTTTAGAGCAATCTGTCATAGAATGTGATAACATGCAATAAATACAAAAAGACATAGCCCAGAATCGAACCCGGGTTCCTGCATTGTAAGCGCACAGTTTTAACCACTAGACCACCGATTCACACAGTTAAGAGTCACTGTGAAGAACGGATTCAAACTAGCAAATTCTGCATCACACGTAAACTTTTATCAGCTGTCTCAATTGTTCAAAGGCGTCCCGATATAAATCCTCGTTTTAGTCTTTGTTTTGTCATTAATGATTTGAGAGTCATAACAAGACCTTTTTTAGTTCTGCGCCACATGTTATTTTACCTCTGAGATTAATGAGCCGCGCGGAGTTCTGGCAACCCGATCACGGACTTACATGACACTTCCTGATTGGCGAAACGGCGGAGGGTAGGACATCAAAATCAAAACAATAACAACTTTTACGGGTCGTAAAACTAATTTTGATATTCAAATATCTCGGATGAACTACTGTTATCAGTTAAAGATGTGTTTGAAAAGAACATGATTTATTAATGCCTTTTGAAATATTCGGGTCATTTAATGATGACTTGACATGCAAATATTACATATTGCTCCTTTAAGCTTGAACTGAAAAGGATAACTAAATTAACTTACAAAGCTCACCCAGTCTAGTGGTTGGTGGTTGGTGGTTGGTGGTGCTATGGCTGCAAAAAGGAATGGATGAATAATGCAAGTTAAAAAAAGTTTTAAAAACAGAATATACATCAGATATGTTATTATTGTAAATGAGGAATAATGTTGATATTAAACTCCTTTTTGAGAATATTTCTTTATAAATATTAGTGCAATTAGTGAAGAAAGAAATTCTATCATCCTTCAGCATTTTAATCTTTGAGTCGTTGTTCTCTGCGCTAAAAAATACCTCCCTTCTCTGGGAAAAATACCTATCACAGATTTCAGGCCCGGGTTTAAAAACACACTAATTAATATCCACTAAAAGTGCCAAAATATCCCGAGGACTGGTTCTGTGGTCACCCCTTCGTCTCTCACTTACTCTTGTTGTCTTTGGTGGTGCAGTGCTGAACTCTGCCTCAGGTCAAAGTTAGATTTCCTTACACAAACTAGGCCTGATTGATTGGTGTATTTCACAGAAAGTCTGAGTCCAATATAGAAGGCTTTTGAGGAGCCGTGACCAATCAGATCCACCCCAGAGTTTATCCATGAAATCAGTTTTGCTCTTAAACAGTGAGTGGCCACAGCAGCTGCAGGCCAAGCGATGGAAGATAAGAGAGGGATCGTTGGCACTTAATGATTTTTGGGCAGTAGTTTGGACGTTTCAACAAACAAAAAGGCATCTCAACTTGCCCAAATCATTCAATAAAGCATTCAAATATTACACATTTTTTGGTCCCTGAAATCTCTGTCAAGACCCCTCTGATGTGGAGGGAGGGGTGCGGTTGATGTTTGTGATGGCAGGACAAGGACTTCTGCAACTCTTCTTTTGTGCACTTTGGCTTTCTTCTCTAAGTAGCAAGGAATTTAAAATGGATGTCACCTTCTATCGGCAGAAGAGTAGAGATTATTTTGAAGTGAGTAGAACAAAGCAAACACGACCGTGGACGGAAAAGGTAGACAAATATTCAGAAATACATGGAGTGTGAAGTTGGACAAAAGCGCTGCTGATGCTGTTATTATTGGCAGTGAAATGTCTTCGGAATCCATGGAAGAAAAATCTATGTCATTTTTGTTATAAAATTGTGATAGAAGACTTCTGTTTAGAGTGTAATGTATATTGACAAAAGGAGATGTCGACCAAAACATGTCTTCGTTATCGATTGGTTGATTAAAAAAGGGGAGTGGTCAGACAAAAGCTATGAACTATCAGATAATGTAACAGACCCTTACTGTATGCTTATATATTCATTTTTTAATTATTTATTTTACCTGCTGATAAGCGTGTCAGCCTTAAAGACCAAATGAAATTCAAAAAAGCTATTATTTTCCATATAATTTCATCATCACAGTCTTTGTAATTCAAATAAGAACAGATAAGAAATCTTTTATTTGTCTCACAGTGGGGAAATTTCAGTGTTGCAGCGCACTTACGGACAGTAGTGAGAGCACACAGGGGGCACACAAAAAATACCAGTCAAAAAAATATATATTTACAAAGTGCAAAGTTATATACTGTACATATAGGGCAGGATAAGTTAAGATGTTTCAATCCCTAGTAATTCACCCCAATGTCGAACCTTGGAATCTAATGAGAGAGGATATTGTGTTCCTCTCATCCCTCACATCAACAGTTGAGTACCACAGCATCATTGGGTGCTTCGGCCTTTTATCAAAAGACACCCTCCACCGGGGCAGGCCCACCACAGGCTGATCATACCTGGGTGTGTGACGCATAGGCACTGAGTGGTTCTGAAGTTGCATTATTGAGATTCAGATTCAGATTCAGATTCCGTTTATTTGCCATTTGCAGTAAAAAAAAACACATTGGAATACATTAGCAAAAGTCACCAGTGTGCACAGACAAATACAGACATAAAACAACATTAAAAGTACGGAAATAAAACAAATAAAACAGTAAACAAGTGTCACTGTGAAATCGAAATTGCACATTGCACATGATTGCAGCATTTCCTTTTTTACAGATGAATGAAATATTTTGTCAAACATGACATTGTTTACACATCCCCATTGACAGATTAATCTAATAAACTACCAAAGATAATCTACATTTCCTAAAATCCACATTTAGCATTGGTTTTGTTTTATTAAATCTATCAAATACCTGGTTTGATATCCAGAGTAATGTCCAGTAGTGTTTTTGCATGTATCCGCCTGCATTTTTAATTTCTATTACAACCCTGGCTGCTGATATTGGGGGCACGGTTCCAGCGAAAGTGACCAAGTGGTTTCTGAAAGTGGTTTGTGACTCAGTGTCGCTGAGAATCAAAGCCAAGCAGACAAATATCACATTCCTTTAGTATGAACCGTAGCTGTTTTGTGGTTATTCCCGATACCTTTAGTCACTGCTAATGTTGTTTGCTCAGCACATAAATAGCAGACTCCATTCTCTCAGCACATTGGAGTTTTCATTATTACTTATGCAAACCCTGCGTCACTGTTTTCTGGAAAGAGTTATATGTTGTCTTATTGCCTCTGTGCTTTTTCTTCCTCCTGAACCCTCTGGAGAGAACCATGATGCGTTCGACAGAAGCTGAAGCATCTGTAAGAACATCCTCTTTACTCAAATGTCTTTCAAATTGGAATAATAACCGATTACATGCACAATGTTCAGTCATCATTCAATTATTTAGTCACATAATCAATTGAGCCAAACGCATTCCCAGCCACCGTGAAAAATAGAAAGGACACTGCAATTAAGGCCATGTTTTGAACTAGTTGCTGGGACACAAGCACTCAGAATTTGGGTTATTAAATAATTGGCAGCCACCTGCAAATGAAAGCCTGATCTAGACCGCAGAAGCTAAGCAGGACAGGTACTGTACGGCAACCTCACTCAGCACTTGTGACTCTGTAAAAGGCGCTATATAAAAAACATTACTTACTTAATTGCAGGGATGGGAGACATCTTGGAACACCAGGCGGCATAGCGTCTGTAAAGTGCCAAATTGTTGTTGTGTCCTAAAGACTTCAGCCACATCAGCAAGTAGAGTCTGATGTGTGTGAGTACTATGGATTGTTATAATATCCATTCCTAAATATAAATTTACAGTGACATATTCAGTATCAATACATCACAACTTCCCTCAACTACTGGGCACATTCGCTGTCCCCACTGCCCTCGCCTCT